AGCAGCCGAAACCAAAACAGAGGGAAAGACAGGGAGAGGGGAGGTTGCAGCGGTGTGAAAACATACACGGAGGACTGAGGTTGTGCAACGTCCTGTAAGGAGGAATTAGGAAGAGAGCAGAGGAATTGAAAGAGGAATAAAATTCCTGCTAAAACACGTGTCAGCATAACCAGAACAAGGATATCTTCTCTTCTTTCAGTACTTGGCAATGGCAAGGACTAAGCAAGACCGCGGTGCGCCACCAGACTTAATCCAATACAACTGGTAATTGTTGACTTATTACCACATACATGCTGTGTCACAATTTGAGAGGATTAAATTCTGCAGCATAGCAGATGACAGCTCTCTTCTGTGCCTTATCAGGAGGCATCTGGCCAGGTCAAACTAATTACCAACACTGCACAAGTGCCCTTATCTAGGAGCAAATGTTTTGCTGCTGCAATTATGGATTTGTTAAATTGCAAAAGCTACTTTTAAGGGAAAGGTTCATCATACTTTCAAAAGGTACAGTGACATTGCTCAGAGAGCCAGGAAGCTCCGTGTCCATTAAAGCAAGGTCTGCTTCAATTACTGCACAAGCTACCCGACTTGTGGATTACACCTCCAGACTAGGGAGTATCTCTCAGCGGACAGAACTTCTGCTTGATGACTTCGCAGTCACCTTTCAGTTCCAAGGATGGCTAAACATAAATATATTGCAAGTATTCCTGAAATCCTGCGTAAATGAACAGTTCCGGTCTCTCACGTACAGAAATTACCAAGACCTGTGTGCTAAGAGAAACTTGGTTTCAATAACACAAGCCGCAATTATTAATTCAAGGCCTCAAAGAGTTTCCAGTCTTTCTGGCCTGAAATAGTTTTGTTTTTTTAAGAACCACTCCTCTAGGGCCAGCAAACATTTCCTCTTCCACACCCACAGCAATCTGTCCTGCGAGACTGCTCTATCCCGAGCCCAGTGTAGATCCACCATTGCGCTCTGGTTTCTTTTTTTTTCCCCCCCTAAATAAACAGACAAGCCTTGCCTACCCAAGCATGACACAAACCAGGCGCACACTAGCCGGCTTCATCACTTCAGTAATGATAAAGCAGTCTAAAATTATTACATTAGGCAAGTACCAACTACAAATGTGTCTCCTGATTAGACTTTCACTTAAAGAAAGCAAGCTTTCCCCGCATCATCCCTGCAGCGGGTGCTCTGCAGCTCAAGGGGGAAGGGGGCATTTCCATTTCACACCAGGAACACCCCAGGAGCAGAGAGACGCGGCTGGGCGACGCAGTTCTGCACGGCACCTCCGACACTCAGGTGCTGTCAGGGCAAGCGAGCAGAAAATGGTAATACTACTACTTCAGGTTCCTTCCAGCAAAGTCCTGGGCTGTCGTTTTAAATTACATTTCTAAAGGTACCTCAAGCTCTGCAAATTAAAAGGAACAATCACGTGGGGGGGTGGGGGGTGTGTGTTACTAATAAAACATTCGGCAGCAGTGAGTAGGTCATTTTGGAAGCAGATCTTGAAACCACTTTTCTTCCCTCTTATTCTGAGGCAACCAGTTCAAC